CAGTTCAGACATGGCTGATTTAGCTCCTTGTGTTGAAAAGTCTTGTCACTTAAAGGGGCAATCAGATGCCAACTTAACACAAGTGGAGATTAATTTATACAGTATTTCTGTGAGTTCTGTAACAATCTAAATATTAAAAAAACCTACTTACTCAAAACCAATTCCATTATAAACAACCCTTTAGACTACTGCTCCTTTAAAAGCTAAATGAAACCACACACTCCTTCCATTTCTACACTGAGGTGTGTTTCCTATGGTATCAGCACAAATTGACTGGAGGAAGCCATGAAAGCAAAATGATAAAAAGATTAATTGATGGATGGAGCAATAATGATGCATCAGTTGTACCTTATTTTCCTGATCTGCAAAATGAAGATTCCTCAGAAATTTCATTGGTACTAATGTTTTCAACAAGGTAGCACTGTGGCACAGTGGGTAGCACTGTGGCCTTCCAGTTAGAAGGTTGCCTGTTCAAAGCTTGCCGCTGACCTTCCTGGAAGGAGTTTGCATGTTGTCCCTGTGCTTGCATAGGTTTCCTCCGGGTACCCGGTTTATCCCAAAACACATGTGGTTTTTAAAGAATTGAAAGATTTACAATGATTTTGTTTTGATATTTTGTGCTAACTTTAGTTAGGTAGTTAGATTTAACGTAAAATGTTTATTTGTTGGGACACACATGAAGCCATGGCTAGTCACAAGGAAAATGGTGAACTTTTTCTCTCTATACCAGAAGAGAATCAGAGATGTGATGTCATGCAGTGGGCGGTGAAAATGCTAAAGAGCTGGGAAAGATCTAATAACATTTGACATAATTTTTCAGGAATTTCCAGGAATGGAATGGAATTGTGTGAATTTTCCAGCAAACAAGGGCTCAGATGCTACATTTCCCTTCAGGTCCCTTGAAGGTTTTTGTAATAATGCAATAATCATTCATTCATCTTCTAACTCTTTTAGGGTCACGGGGGTTTCTCCAGCATGTGAGGTGGGGGTACACCCTGGACAGATCGCCAGTCACAAAGCATCAAACAGATTCACTCACACATTTACTCAAAGGCAAATTTAGATTATTCTAAATATAACCTGACGCATGTTTTGGAATTGTGAGGGAAACCGAGTACCTGGAGGAAACCCATGCAAGCACGAATGGAACTCCTTCTAGGAAGGTCAACCTTCTAACTTAAAGGCCACAGTGCTACCCACTGCGCCACCGTGCCTCCTCATAAAGCAATAATGCCAAAGTAAATAAAAAAAGTCTTTGCACTAGCATGAAAACCAAGTCAATTGTATCTTTAGAATTGCTAAATGATTAAAAAATGGCAATTAGCTGCACAATATCTGGGAAAATAGACTTAGTGAACGTCCTGAAAAATTGAGTGTTCTTTTAGGCACTTTTTCAGAACACAGCTGCTTCAGCATAATCATTTTCATTGCTCACTTCCTGTGGCATTGACCCTACATTCAGCAGAAATCCTGACATGAATAAACCAATGAGAGCAGCTCAGTTTGCTCATGAAATTTTCTGGAACACTTTATCATGTGCGTGTTTCCAGGTCATTACTGAAGGTATAAATTACAGAACCCTGGAAATCTGTCCTCGACTCCTGCATGCATCCAAGCTCTCTACTTCTTAATTTGCTTTTAATTGACATTTAAAGTACCCTTCAACATGTTTATTACTTTTTCATGGCTCAAATCAGATTAGAGCCCAGTAGCTGCTGGTGTTCTGAGAGCAATGACCTGAAATAACTCTGCATTTAGATCTCTGCAAACCCAACCAGACGTAGCAGAAGCACTTGATGGTAAAAAGGTTTAAGTTTATCTTTATATAGTAGAATTATTTGGTCAACAAAACGGTTTACTCTATTATAGATTACAACAGCGACAACTAAAACTAAAGAAAAAAGAATAACAAAATTACAAAATTGATCAATGTGTTTTTATTATGTATTGATCTATATATTGATCATTTTTTAATATTATTATTCCACTGTATTGTTGAGTGAAAAATTAAAATTTAATTAAAAAAAGACTTTTGCCAATTGCTTTGAAATCATTTTACAGCCTTTGCAACTACACTCAGTTTGATTCTCAATGAGGCTTTTGTAAACTCTCTCTCTCTCTCTCTCTCTCTCTCTCTCTCAGCCTAGCTCTTTCTCTCCTGCAGTGGATAAACATTTCAGTATTGTTGCATTGTTCCTGCTCCTCACGGGACTCTGTTCCTCAGCTCTTATCTTCCACCCCTCAGCTTGCGTACCTGCACACCATTCACACGTATTAATTGCACAACAAAGCATGGGCCGTCTCTGAGCGCTCAGGATTACACCTCCATTTTGGCCCTGATGGATCCAGAGGTCATTGGTTAGACCTGCAGAGATTTACAACTCTGCCTCCAAATCCTTTTAGTGCAACCACTGATGAGCCAGTGCCAGATTGGATTATGCTTTATTGTTTTTAACAAGACTATCAAACAATGTGGCTCTCATTTAGACTATCAAATGATTTATTAATTAGTTTCACTTAATTACACATAACTTCATCTATGGACATAAATGTTTGGATTTCTTTCTATGTGTGCATTACTTGGGTTGATGCCGACATCTGGTGAAAATTTCATGTCAATAGCTCGATTAGAAATATGTTTTTTGAGAGAAATGTTGACGTGTTCAATACTTATTTTCCCCACTGTATTCCAGTATTTATGGCAACAGTGTACACAAGGGAGCTCATCTGCTAGGGTACTAACTGATGGATTCCTCTCAATATACAAGCCACGGATGGAGGTCGCATCTGGAGGACACACACAGCACTGGTTAGTCGGAGGTAAGAAACTTACACAGCTGCAGTGGAAGAAAGGAGAGAAGACCATGAGGTGAACATGGAGGAACAACATCAACGGCAGACACCAGACTTCTGGGTAATGGAGTTTTTTTATGCTGTAGATTAGTGTGGTGGATATGAGCCTTCACCTTGCTGAGAGAGAGAGACCGTCTTGGGAAACAAACAGCACAGAAAACCATTGTAAAAAGAAGTTTCTTTATTGATGATTCACAGTGAGAAGACCACCAGCAAAGAGAACAGTGTTCTCAATGTGAACATGTCTGACAGTTTCTGGGGCCCTCTATTTGTAACGTGGAGACCACCCTCCTGTGCGTCATTCATGTCCTTCCGATTAGACTCCTTACGTGTGGGATGTCGGACGCCAGAGTTGATTGCTACGTTATGGTCAGAGATGTTATGGTGTGTTGGGCCCTGAGTTGATTGCTACGTTATGGTCAGAGATGTTATGGTGTGTTGGGCCCGGAGTTGATTTCTATGTTATGGCGCTTGGTGTGGCGCCTAGAGGTCTAGAAATATTCGTATCTTTATATCATGAAGCACAGGAGGCTAGAGCTTCAAGGCACAGTACAAGATGTTAAGGTCAGGCTGAGTGGCATTGAGATGGTTTTAAAAAAGAATGAACAGGCTTACAAAATCACAATGAAAGTGTCTACATGAAGAGTAAAGACATCATATGACACAAAGAACGTTTCCCCATTACATTAGAGAGCGTGATTGTAGAATCTTATTTTTTAACTCAACTACAATTTGCAAAATCATTTTAAGGCAAATACTTTTGTACTTTTACTCAAGTGAAATTATGAAGGGAAGTAATGTTTTATAATTTCTAAAAATAATAAATTCTGGAGTAATATTTTACCTAGTGTATCTCTGTCCACCACTGAATTTCATGACTTCCACCTTACACAAATAAATATTACTTTACACTGATTAAAAAACAAATAAATGTAAGCATGCACTGTGTTTTCGAGTGCCTCCCTTTTAGAACCTGTTTGATGTCACAGTCTCTGATTTCGTTATCACCCAATTTTTTTGACATGAAACCAATGAAATGAGTTTCCTCCGCAAGGTGGCTGACCGCTCCCTTAGAGACAGGGTGAGAAGCTCCGTCACCCGGGAGGAGCTCAGAGTAGAACCGCTGCTCCTTCACATCGAGATGAGTCAGCTGAGGTGGCTCGGGCATCTCCCGGGGGAGGTATTCCAGGCATGTCCCACTGGGAGGACGCCCCAGGGAACACCCAGGACACGCTGGAAGAACTATGTCTCCTAGCTGGCCTGGGAACGCCTCGGGGTCCCTGCCGAAGAGCTAGAAGAAGTGTCTATGGAGAGGGAAGTCTGGGCATTCCTGCTTAGACTGCTGCCCCTGCACCCCGGCCCCGGATAAGCGGGAGAAGATGGATGGATGGATGAATGGATGAAACCCATTCTCTTGTGTGAATGTTATGAATGTGCTTTATGTTTTGTCTCATTGATCTGTTACAATTTAAGAGAAAATGAGAATTAATAACAAAAACACATTTTACCCCTACCAAGAGTTAGCTCCTACTAACTCAAGCAGCCATTTATCCTAAGATATAATATTTTAAAAAAGTGAAAAAAAAAAATGAAAAGTTTGTTAGTAAAAAAGCTATGGATGATATGTAATCAGCTCCTGACATTAGGCTGCTGACCATAGACTGCATTAAAAATTGTTGATGCATCACTACCTCCTGCCTAAGGACTGTTTGGAACAGAATGACCAGGATTAGTGTGCTGCACATGCGTCGAAGGCAAAACAGGAGATCAGCGACATCAGAGCTCCTGCACGTAGCTCACATTCTCAACCAGCCCTTATATTTTCAACATAAATATATGTTATATATGTATTCTAAATGTTATAAGCTGTTAGCTGATATTAGCTTTTTGCTCGTTATATAATACGCTCCAAAACAAACAGCCCTTCATTTCCAGGTAATCAGCTCTTGATATTGGTTGGTTTACAACAGAACAATTTATTTTTAAAACATAAACAAGAATGATGAAGATTTGACGACACTGTTTCACAGAAACCTATACGTGATGTCTTCATAGCTTTATATAATCTAAAGTTTGCGTTTGCAGTTATGCTTCTAGCAGAAATTAATATCCAAAGCAAATTACTGTACATTCAATTATTTATTGCATGCGTTATGGTGGGAATTGAACCCATGACCTCGGGTGCCGCAAACTCCATGCTCTACTGACTGAGGCAAAGAAAGCCAAAGCTTTTATATATCTGTTTTTTTTTTATAATAATTATTGCAAGACTTTTTTGCTTAATGAACCACAGGACACTGGGGCCTTCCAGCTCAGATCGGGCCAAAGAGATGCAACTCTCTCTCTCTCTCTCTCTCTCTCTCTCTCTCTCTCTCTCCCTCCCTCTCTCTCTCTCCAGAACAACGCTCACTCATTTAGGAAACTCCACTCTTCATGAAAACATACATCCTATACACCCAGGAGGAACCACACTCATGCATGTACAGAATGATATCTAGCCTCGGACCAGGATCTTCTTAGCTCCCATGTTGCCCATGTTCTCTGAAAATCATAAAAATATATTACTGTTTTACTAACAATTAGTAATAAAAAAATCATGGATCATGAGTAAATCACAGTTGAGAGAAAGAATTAAGAGTCAGTTTTACTGTCTGTGACCTGCAGCTATTGTGTAAACAAGAGAACAGTGTTTAATGGGCTCTTTCACACATTGGCAGGGTCTGTTGCTCCAGTGCCGATAGGTATGGGGGGTGGGGGGTTTGCTCAGATTAGCAGGTAATGATGTGAATTAGAATATGCAGCTTGTGACCGTCAGGATGTAAACAGGCACATAAAAAAGCAATCACATGTGGGTTGGCGAGATAAGGGATTTGCTGCAGTACAAACGTGGTAATCCTATTAATTCCAAGCCCTTGACTCTTGCTCTGGACTTCCTGTGCCTCGCTCTGTAACACCGGGAATGGTTGTGAAGTTCAGTCAGCGAGTGGTAGGTTTCAATGGTGAGGATGGTGCTTAAAAATGAAGTGGATCAGATTGATGACTGTTGTGTCGAAATGCCACTCCAGCAGAGTGTGAAAATAACATCTTCAGCCAGTTCTGATCCAAAATGAAAGCCAACAATGACCAAATATGATGTTTTTAACCTCAGTGAACTAAAAAAGAAGACTTTAGGCTCCTTTTTAAAATGAAGAGCGCTGTATCCTCAGGGAATTAACCCTCGCACCACTCTTCCTACAGGAAGTGCCACCCCTAGTATTTCTCATGAAGTAATTGACTGTATGTCAGGGGCTGTCAGAGAAGGAGCCTTCCATTCGCCTCTGCAATGGCAAGCTCAATAAATCTTCTGCTGCTGCCATAGGTATGGAGATCCATTGTGAACAGCTAATCAGATCTGAAATCCAATTACTCCCGGCATGTAGAATGATGGATTCTACACTGAATATGAGGAGCGTGGGTTCTGGACAGGCGTGTGGGTAATAAATAACTCCAACTCAAAGAAAAACTTTTTGTTTGCGGTTACAAAAGAAACTGTTTTTTCCATCTCACTATCAAATGTTTTGTACGAAGGATTTTGTGAGAAACAAAATGCATGTTTTTAAATGATTATTCAACAAAATGTAGAAGCATAAATTAGATGAACTAAAGAAGTATTTCCATAAAGCAATTTAGAACTCCAAAATACAATTTGTATAGATTTTTAAAAATTATTTAACTATAGATCTGTTAATAGATCATTGTGGAAAAAAATGTTTTGATGATGAAATCTCTCAGAACATTAGTTTGGAAGCATGTTTCTTGTTAAATTGTGGAACTTACAGTTAGACCTAAACAAGAACAGCTATAAAACAATTAGAATTTCTTCAAATTATGAAATCAATGAAACAAAATCTATTCTGTATTTCAACTGCTTGCTCAGAATACAGTGTGCCATAAGCTGTGATGTCTTTGCTCTGATGAGTCAGTGTTTTGTGGGAGAGCTTACTGTATCACTAACTGCTCGTGTGAGAAACTGCAGAGTGGCTGAATTTCCTCCTTTGCAGTGAATCATAGTGACTTGAGCTTCACTTCACAGTTGTAACCATCTGTTGGCTCCGCATCCTTTAAAATATGTTTAACATTATTTCAACCCAATATCCCACTTTTGATATGTTTGATCATTTGAGGGAAAGAGATGATTTCAATGTTATCAATGCAGCCAGGACCATAGTCCCCAAGACAACAATTGGAAACACACTACAAATGAGAGAAAGAGGGTCAAAATCAAGCTTAGATGTATGTGACAATAGCTGAAATTACATACACCAAACATTTTTATGTGCAGTTTAGAATATCGCATAAAAAAATGCTTGACACACTGGACATATTTGTGGGTTTAAATCCTGAACCCATTGCCATTTTCCATCCTTCCTCTTCTCTCTACCTGCTTCTCTTCCTGTCTAAATAATACCCTATCTGTTTAAAATAAAGAAAAAAAAGCCCAAAAATAGTCTTGGTCGAATGCTTTTTTCTATCGGCACTGAAGTGTGATGAGGCAGCATTAATGCTCTAACCAACAGATCGATTTCATTGCGCAATATCTGAAATGTTCTTTTGCTCATTCTAAAATTCCTTAACCAAATTCGGGATTACCAATACCTAGAACTTTCTTGACCAGCTGCTTTCCCAAAGAGCAGGCTCCCGGCTCCAAAAGCAAGGGGATATGACTGCACATCTTCTCTCTATCTTTCTCTCTCTCTCTACTATGCTCAAATGCATGTCCTTATACTCATCAGCTGGTATTATTTAAATTCCCTGTTTTCTCACTGGGTTATCAATTGTGTTTCCTCTTTGGGTAGAATTGAGTATTGGGGTTTTGGATCTGTTTTTCCATGTTACCCATTTATATAATAATTTAAATGTTTGGCTTTGCATAGACTGTCATCAGCAGCCAGAAAAATGTGTCTAATTTTGTTGTTTTCTAATGGTTTCAATACACGTCTTGAGCAATACACCTGCAGCATTTGGGTTTATAACTCCATCAGTGTGAAAATGGCCAGCTATGTTCCACCGATATGATAGACAACAATCATTATGCCACCAATGATTACATCGTGTCAAGTGCAATTAAAATGAAAATCTGTCACTCATGGGGCTCCTGAACAATGCAGAACATGATTGCATGCGTTATGAGCCTGCCCACAAAACAGATAAAATAAACAATTACCTTGTCTAAATTATAACAGGGCGATCTCTTATCTACGTCATAGCACTACTTACGTCCTATACATGTACATTTGCTTCAAACTGAGTGATCCAAACAGCTCACAGACATGACCTCACCAATGTGCTGGCTCTAGTCGCATCACAATATCAAAGTTGCCAGCTAAAAGTCCCCTCCCACAAAGGCGGAACTTCCTTTGTGTAACCCGCACCAGCGACACGCAAATTAATTAGTTAATTAGGGGAGTCCTTATTATTGTGGGCCATTTCCCTTTAAATAGCCTCCTATGCGCAAGATCGCTCTACCTGTGTCTCTCTTCGCATCTGACTGCTGTGCTGCTGTGGCAAACTGCTGTCGTCACACGGCTGTGTAATTTACACACTCTAAGCGGACTTCTGGCGATTTCAAAGGCATCTTGATTTAATTCCCGGTAAGACTCGCAAACAATAATAAAGCGTTGATGCTAAGCTAGCGGAGTTTTTTCTTTCTCTGTTTAAACAATAAATATTGACTTTAAATTGTAATCTTCGATGATATAGATTGTTTGTTTACGTTACTTATCAGTTTGATTTTGATTTGTTTGGAATCATATTGATCTTTTTTGTTACAAACACCGCTTTGGTTATATTTATGTTTGTATATGATCAATTGCATGTGTTTCTTTCTGGAAAAGAAGATAAGACTTTGATTTAATAACTTGAGATTTAATGATGAGATTATTTTTTATGAAATGAACTTTTTGATGCATTATATATATTTTTTTAGAATCTTTAATGAAATATTCATCCACATGATTGTATATTTTGATTTATGTTATGAAAATTGTGATATGTGTTAATGTGTTTTTTCCTTTGACCTTGTTTAGGTCAGGTTTTTTTTGTTGTGGATTTTCTTCTGAACGGCAAGCCACCCAACACTGAACTGGAGTTTTTTTTTGAAGAAGAAGAAGAACTGTGAACTCTTTATAAAAAGGATAGACTTTTTGAACATTCGCTGCACTCCCCCTTATAAATGTTTTGTTTTGTTTGTCTGAAATTCTTTTTAATACAATCAAATTATTATTTATTACATGTCTTGTGTCTTTCATTTACACACTCTGGGCTCCACGAGTAAGAACCTTTCTGAGAGTCAGTGCGCATAGAACAAAAGTGTTACAATTGGAGAGCCAGCCAGGAGCCTGAGTGTGTGGATGAAATTTTTTTCTTCTCCTTTTTCAATCAGTTATTATGGATTTTGTTGCCCAATATGGTATTAATGTATCCAAGTCAGTTTTAATTACTGGTGTCACAAATACAGAAACTGACGATGAAGTGCTTGACAGTTTGCGCAGTTACGGTAAACTTAATCGCACAATTTATATTAATGACCCTGATAATTCATTCAACAAAAACCTGATCGCAGAGTTTAAAGATGAAAATGCATTCTCGGCATTAGAACCAATATTACCTTACACTTACAAATCACCGACTAATGCTAGCCTTGCGTGCCACATCACTGCATTAGCCTCAGAGTATGTTGCCACAGTGGACAGCAGCAGAAAACCTCCTGATTATTTAATTGAACTAAAGAAACTTGCAGATCAAAGCGGCCAAACTTTTGAAAACGTACTCAAAATGGTAATGTCCCAGATCGGTGACCACCTGGATGCAGCAGAAGGAGAGCAGAAAAGAGACCTCCGAATCAAAGCCAATATGGCTGAAGATGACGATTATGAAGATGATGAAGAGGACGGCAAGTATGATGGCGCTTCAGCACATCCAGTACCACGAACATTATCCATTCTTGGTCAGCCCAACACTGTTCCACAAGGACTCCGTTCCTCTCAAGGCAGAACACCCCCACGAATCTCTTTGACCACAAACGAGTTGACCCCACCACAAGTTCAAAGGGTTGTTGTTGAGCATGTGGTACGGAGTTCAGACTTCACAGGCACTTCAATGCGTTTGCGTTCCTTTTCAGGAAGAACCCCAAGGCCAAGCAATGAAGTGGACTACGAATCCTGGCGATCCCAAATAACCCTTCT